AGTAAAATATCATATAAATTCAATCCTAAAATAATGCAACAGTTGTTAAGGAAAAGCTGGCAATAGTTCATGAAATGCCCAAGAAAAGAGTTAAACCTTTAATCACTAACAAGCAAATTCCACATGGGGGATCTCCCTTGGGAATAACATAGTACTTGAAAAGGTCACTTGTGGAGAAGCAACATGTTGCATTTAAACATAGGTTAATTATATTCAAAAGCATCTGAAAATGATCACTTCTTAGTCCAGTCTTTGGACTGTACACATAGTATTTTCTTTAAAACCAGTTAATATCACTACAACACATTATGCTCGTTAGCTATTCATTGGATACATCTACCCAAGCTAAACTTGATGGATTCATAATAGACAAAGTTCAAGGGGACACCTGCTGCAGGTTTTTTGTCTACATAAAAGATATACAAAAATCCAAGAGAGTGCTCTGGATAATTTTCCGATATTGGGTTTACAAAAGAGGCTTGCTAAAGCTTTGAAGAATATTGTGAGGAGATGAAATAAAAATGAGAACTTAATCAAGTTCTAGAACATTATTTGAAGGAACTAAAAATCAAAATTGTTAAAAGTAAAAGGAAGGAATATAAAGTTGGTTTATTTGATCAAGATTAAAATAGATATATTTTTAGTTGTGGTGACCCTTAATGGATTTTTTCTAATCAGGATTTAAATCATGAAGTTTTAAGAATTTGTTTATAAATAAGAGATGGGTTGTGGGAAGAAGAGGTCATTTGTTGTATTTTTAGAGAAAGTTATAAGTAAAATTGTTTATAATTGTGATAAAGGCAGAAAGTCAATTCTTTATATATTTCTTTTTTTACTCTAATCTTTTCTATTTTTTTCATTTCCTTCACTTTCCTTTTTTTCTTTGTATTCTCTATTTTTTAGTTTATATTAATGTTAATCTTTTTAATTGTATCTTTTAATAAAATTGCTATTTTAAACAATCATTCACTGTTTAGAATCTGGTTTGCCCTTAATTACAATAAGACCATAGATATCACATTTTGATTAGTACAGGGGTCTCCAAGCTTGGCAACTTTATCACTTGTGGATTTCAACTCCCAGAATTCCTCAGTTGCCAAATTTGGAGACCCCTGGATTAATGGATAAAACTATTATCTTCCTCACACAGCATCCTTGACCTTGAATAACTCTTCTCTGTCATGTGGAGGGAATTTTTTTTGCACTTTTTATTTTTTATTGGGTTTTTAAAGTTTCTATGTAGTTTATCATTGTAATTTTTAATAAACTTACTATTAGAAGACACTTTATGATCACTTTCAAACCAGGATTTGGTTCATGAGGGCTTATTTCAGAATCCTAGAATCTGGCTGTAATTTCTGTAATTTTTTCTGGTGTCTTATTTCAGCTGATTGACAGTAAATAGCATCCAATATTTTCCTGTGTTCTGTGTGTGCATTGTGTGTCTGTATCGGTGTTGTCTGTCTTTATTTAATCTTAACTTTAAATACATTAATTCTCACTGATCACAGTAGAACTTGCTTCAGAATGTAACACTTGTAAAAATTGAGAACAACATTCTTATCATAGTTATGGAAGGCTTTAGTAGACTGTATAATTCATTGACTGTTTCAAAACACAATGCTTTCTTGTTTCATTTAGACAAGAGAAAAAAAACTCTAGGTAAAAACTTCCTAGACTAAAACCCTGACATGCTGTAAATAGTTTGTGTGTCATTACTGCCAGCAGTTCACTTAAACTTCAGTGTTTAACAGATCAGGAATTAAATATAAATAACGATTCTCAGCTGCATTTGTTAACTATTACCTTCTAGAAACAAGAAGCTTTACATTTTCTAAACTGACATGTGTGGCCTAAAATGAAAAATAGAAATACCAAAAGTGAGTTACATTATGAAATTTTATTTATGTTGTTTTGATGAGATAGCAGTTGACTACTTTTGTTAATATATTGATGTCCACAAAGATTAATTTGTGGTAAGATAACAAGCTAAGTCATTAAATTGAAGGCCAAGGATGTAGATAGGATACTAGTAGTTTGGTACTCATGCTTTTTCCTTATTTCTGCCCCCACTCCCAAATATTAATTTCTGTCCTTCTTGACAGTTTTATCTGTGGCTCAGTAGTTAGAGCAAACTAGATTTCTTAACCACGGTTTGCAAATATGTTGGAAATCCTTGCCATGAGCATAATGGCTAAGTTAAACATGGAAAGAGACAATATTTTAATTATTGTATAGTTAAGCTAGACAATTTTAAAATGAATAGAACATTTTTTTTCTTTCTCCAAATGAACGGCTAAAGGCTATAAAATGCTATTATTACAGGGTTGTTTTCTTAAAAAAAAAATAAACTTAAGCAAATGAAATGAATTGCAAATCATAATATGTTTTGATTTTAGAAAAGGTTGTAGAAAACGTGGTTGTGCAACAGCTCCAGGAAATGGTGGAGGAAGTGGAAACTTTGGAGCTTTTTCAGTTGAAATTCAGATCTGGTGATGGGCCTGAAATGGTATTGATTGCAACTGTAAATAACATGTGGCAGGAGCAGGATGGAAGTGGTGTATCCATCTTTGCTCTTCTTGACTTCTTGGCAGGTTTTGATAACATCAATAGTGGTATCCTTCTGGATTGGCTTTAGTGATTGGGAGTGAGTGGCACTATGTTGTGCTGGTTCTCTTCCTTCCTCCAGGGCAGTCAGTGTTGATGGTAGGGAGAAGTCCAGCCTGCTGTCACTCTTTTGCAGGGTTCTGCAGGGCTTGGTACTTGCTCAGCTCCTATTTAACATCTCCATGAAGCCACTTTGTGAAGTCATTCAGAAGCAGGTCCAATGGTATCCATTTCCACCTCTGACTACCCATGTGATACAGTTGAAATTTGGTTTAGTGTCTGGAGATGATGAAGGTTTGGATGAGAAACAACAGGCTTCAGCTCAACCCTGGCAAGGTTAAGTGGTCTTGGGTATTAGGGCGTCCTGGTCAGTGGTGGATTGTCGCCCGTTCGGACCGGTTCGTAAGAACCGGTAGTAAAACCAGCGGGAGGCTCCGCCCACTGACCCGGACATCATCATAGGTGATCTGCGCGCGCAGGCGTGATGCAAACCGGTAGTAAAGGTAAGTAGAACCCACCCCTGATCCTGGTTCTAAGGACTTTTTATCTATAATTTTGAAGGTGACTGTACTATTTCAAACAGAATTGGTGTGCAACCTGAGGGATCTCCTGGGCCTAAGGCACAGGCAGCTGCTGTAGCCAGGCCTTTGTACAGTTTCATGTTGTTTGGCACATGTGCCCATTCCTGGAGCAGGAGAGTTTGCTCACAGTCACTCATGCATCAGTCACCCCCCAAATAGATTACTGCCATGCACTTTACTGGGGCGGTCATTGAAGAACATCTAGAAGCTGTGTGGGGTACAAAATGCAGCAACATGGACAATAATGTGTACTCCTTGATCAGCACACAATACACCTCTGTTCTGTGAGTTGTTAGTGTGCTTCTGGGTTCAATTGAAGGTGCTGATAGTTACCAATAAAGCCCTCCATGGCATGAAGCCAGTTCATGTGAGGAACCATCTCGCCCTCTCCAACCTATAGGTCTGGCATATGAGGCATGCTCTGAGTCAAATCCATTAGAGAATGCAATCTAGCAGAGGCTTCTCTCATGGTGCCTTCTCTAGACCAATTCTCGAATACAGCTCATCTGTGTGGAACCCGCACTGCATATCAGACATTAATACAATTGAGTGTGTCCAGAAATATTTCACAAGAGTCCTCCATTCCTCTTCTCGCAACAAAATACCTTATGCCACCAGACTTGAAATTCTGGGCTTAGACAATTTAGAACTATGCCGCATTCGATATGACCTAAGCATAGCTCATAAAATTATCTGCTACAATGTCCCACCTGTCAATGACTACTTCAGCTTCAACCACAACAACACACAAGCACACAATAGATACAAACTTAAAGTGAAGCGCTTCAAACTCGATTACAGAAAATATGATTTCAGCAACAGAGTGGTCAATGCCTGTAATGCACTACCTGACTCTGTGGTTTCATCCCCAAACCCCCAAAACTTTAACCTAAGACTGTCTACTGTTGACTTCACCCCATTCCTAAGAGGTCTGTAAGGGGCCTGCACAAGAGCACCAGTGTGCCTACCGTCCCTGTCCTAATGTTCCCTTTATTTGTATTCATTTTATTTATTTGTATTCATTTTCATTGTATATATATTATCTAATACGTACTTGAAAAATAAATAAATAAATAATTTTTTTTAAAAAATCTCTCCCCCACTCCCGGCCCAATAATTTGATTGCTTCTGACCCCTCTGGCCTTTTGTAAGACCTTAAAGAAGTGGTTGTGTCACCAAGCTTGGATCTGTGGCAGAGCCCATGCAATGCTTACATTGATTTGCTGATAGCTTTTTTCATTTTTACCTCAGCTGCTGGTTATGAGTATTGTTTTTGTATTATTCAGACTTTCATGGTGCTTTTAACTGTTGTTAGCTGCTCAGAGTCATGAATTGGAAACGGACACTATATAAATTGATTGATTGAATGAATAGTTGGATGAATTTTACTTATCAGTATGAAAGTAGGAGAATCCAAGACCTCAGTGCCTTCCGCCGTGCCCTTAAAACCCACTTTTTCCAGCAAGCCGGGCTGGCTTAAGAAGAAATTTTTAAAAGTTTTAAATTGGTTTGTGATTTTTAATTTTTGGGCCAAATTTATATATATTTTAATTGTTTTTTAATATTTGTATTTCATGTTGTTAGTTCTGGCTGTACACCGCCCTGAGTCCTCAGGGAGAAGGGCGGTATATAAATTGGAAATAAAATAAAATAAATAAAATAAAAGAATATAATAGGAAAGGAAAAAAATAAGTAAATAGTGTTTTTGATTCATCCAGGTTTCTGGATTCTTGGAAATGTATAAAAATTATATTCAAGTTTACTAACAATCTACAGTACATTGTACATATAATTCTTAATTTTCCATTGCAGGGCTGAAGGCAAGGTTTGGTCACCTAATACTGTAGAAGATGGAAAAGCACAAGCTTATCGTGTCAGTGTAGAACCTGAATCACAGGTATGTGATCTTTACATAATTTAAATCATTTTTTAAAAATTCATAAACATAGGAAATTAATCTTCCTCAATACAAAATATACAAAATATAGTTGAACATTAAATGCATACTTAGGACATCAGAAAAATATGTTGCTTTCTGGATCTGTTGTATATTTAAGTATGCAAAATCCATTACAGTTTGTATTTTATTTATCTTCACTGCCATTCTATGGTCTATTTGAAATAAGCTATAGAGGTTCATCATCCATCTCCTTCCACTTTTGACTGCATGATTGTAACTTTGTTACTTGTATCCTTACGATTTATACTGACTGTTTCCTAATATGATTTGATTGCTTATTTGTTCCCTGTGACTATCATTAAGTGTTGTACCTTATGATTCTTGATTAATGTATCTTTTCTTTTATTACACTGAGACCATGTGCACCAAGACAAATTCCTTGTGTGCAGGACTGAAATGTAAAATTTGTTACTACCAGTTCTGTGGCCGTGGCTTGGTGGATGGGGGGGTAATGTTACTGGGTGGGCGTGGCCATTTTTTTTTTTTAACTTTTCAAAGCATTTTTTCTGCAAATGCAAAAAAATGCTTTGAAAAGGCTCTGCCGATCAGGCAACACAGCTGGGATCGTCAGAGAGACTTTTAAAGCATTTTTTTAACCACCTCTTTTGTGGAAGAGGTTGCAGGAAAAAATGCTTGACGATCAGGTAACTCAGCTGAGATCATCACAGAGACTTTCAAAGCATTTTTTAATGCTTTGAGGTTGCAAAAAAAAAAAAACCCGGAAGAGGTTGCAAAAAAAAAAATGCTTTAAAAGTCTCTCTGACGATCCCAGCTGAGCCGCGCAATCATCAGAGGCTTTTTTTTTAACTTTTAAAAGCATTTTTTCGGCAGAAGTTGTAGAAAAAATGCTTTTAAAAGTAAAAAAAAAAAAAGCCTCTGATGATTGTGCGGCTCAGCAGGCCATGGTCGAGGGGAGGGCGTGCAGGGATTTTTGCTACTGGTTCTTCGAACCACCCACTGCCATTGCTACTGGATCAGGCGATCCGGTCCGAACCGGGAGCATTTCACCCCTGCTTGTGTGTCCAATCACACTTAGCCAATAAAAAATTCTATTCTATTCTATTCATAGCAAAGACTGACTTAAAAAAAGATGTTGGTAAGCTTTATTTCTGTTGAGGGCTTGGTGGGTGAACACATAAGTAAGGAGGAGTATTAGGTAGATCCAGTACTAAAGGAATTTAAACGATGGTTTCTTTTCTAGTTTTTTAAAAAAAGTTTGTTCATTTGCTTGGAATTGGAGCCTTCTTTTAGTATCCTTTAGATATACTTCCAGAGTATTTTTAGATCCAACTGTAATGTCTAAATGTCTGTTTGGATAGTGTGGTATGTTGATGTTTATAAAAAATTAATCTTTACATTTCATGCTGTCCATATATGGGCTAGGTAAGTGATCACACTTTCACTAACCTTTCCTAGCAGCAGCCCATAGAGACTCGGCATACAGTGGCAACAGTCTATAAAATCCACTTGTTCTGGTGAAGTATATTTTCCATTCAAATTCAGTTGTATCTGACTTCGTATGAAAAATATAATGCTAGAGAATATATTTCCTACTTAGCATAATGTAAAAAAAAAAAGCCAATGCAACATAGATGCAGCAGGCAAATCAGTAAATGAGCAAGTAAAGGATATTTCTTCATTAGTATCCTACTCTTGGTGCTCTTGGAGCGAAAGCCGTTTTGCCACCAATACCCTTAGCTAGCAGGAGAGATTTTCTACCAGTTTAAATTCCATCTGTCAACTTCTTGGAATGGATTATATATACTTCTGATTTAGCTTTGTGCGATAGTTCATGATTACCCATGGACTAATTCTAAAATGAAATGTTGAAATTCTGAAACATCTGTGAAGTGGTGATATGGTTTAGACAGTTAACATCATTTTCTCAGAGATCTTGATTTCTTGAGTTGCTTAAAGCAGTAAAGCATTGAAATATAACCGAAGAAAACTTGGAATGCGTACAGTCAAACACACTCTACGTTTTAGGATCTATATAATAGTAGATGACACTGAAGAAGCTGCTCCCTGCCACCATTGCATCAGCACAATACCAGAGCAATTGTAAAGATGCTGTTGTGTGCTAGGTTTCAAAATAATAGGACAGGCTTTCTGAAAAGATTGCAAAAGTTGCTGATAAAAATAGCAAAGATTTGCAAAGTCCTAATACAGTACTTATTACAAGAGCCAGCAGTTTGATCCTGTCCGGCTCAAGATTGACTTCCATCTTTCCGATACAAGTAAAATGAGGACCCAGATTGTTGGGGCGAAATGCTGACTCTGTAATCTTCTTAGGGAGTGCTGTAAAGCACTATGAAGTGGTTGTTGCAATATTTTTAGGATCAGACTCAATAATGATAATAAAGATTAGAGGTTTAAATATATTTCTCTTTAATCATAACAGGCATTCTATATTCACTGAATATTCACAGAGAGAAGCAAGGAAAATGGTGAGGGTGGCTCCTTATATATACAAAGGGCGGAGTCAAGAATGGGAGTGGTGAATTATGAATACATTAGGAAACAAAGAATAAGTTAACCCCCCGATATCCCATATATACAATTTTACACATTAGGGAATAAGGCATTTACATCTGACAAATCCCCCTCTAAATGCCGGTTCGCTATACAACACCAATTACATTCAGATTCAGGACAATATAAGACATATAATTTTGAAGTTAAATATTTGTGCTGTTTAGAAGGTAAAGGCTTCGTTAATATGTCAGCTAATTGTTCAGAGGTATCACAATGCACTGCTATGATAAATCCATCTTGAGACAATTGTCTCACATGTTTAAACTTTTATATCTATATGCCTGGATCTTTGTCCAATGGCATCGGATCTGGATATTTCAATGGCTGCTTTATTATCTTCATGCATAACAAAAGGTAAAGCAGGTTTTTTCCAGACATCTGAAATCAAATCATTAAACCATACAAGGTTATTTATTGCAGCTTTAGATAAACAAACATATTCCGCTTCTGTGGTTGAAGTGGCTACCAGTTCTTGTTTACCAGTGTACCAGTAAACTGGACAGTTATTTAATAGAAAAATATAACCAGAAGTGCTTTCCTGCATGCATGATATATCTCCAGCCCAATCCGCATCTGCTGTAACAAGTAAGTTTTGGTTCTTTTGTCATTACTAGGTTCTAATATTAAACAAAAGTCTAATGTACTTTTTAGATATCTTAGAATTCTTTTGACAGCTTCCCAATGATACATAGTTGGTTTACTAACATCTTGACTTGACAATAAATTGAGAGGTAATGCAATATCTGGCCTGGTCCAATTAGATATATAAAGAAGTGAACCTATGACTGATCTATAAAATGTATTATCTTTGAATTCAGGGAGAGACTCATCTTTTCTAAGGAAATCAGTTTGCATAGAGAGTGTCACATGTTTAGCATTGTTTAAATTGCATTTGTTTAGAAGTTCAATAATCTTATCTTTCTGAGTAAGTTTGAATCCCCTTCTAGTTTTGTTAATTTGTACGCCAAGGTATTTTGTTTACTTTACCTAGAATTTCAACGAAAAATGTTCGTTTAGAGCTTATTTACAAAGGTTTCTCTTCTCTCCTTGTGTTTTCCTATATAAAAATATCATCTACATAAATTAACACGAATTCAATGTGATCATCACTTTTTTTTACAAAGAAACAGTTATCAGCGGTGGTAGCGTTAAAATCCATGGTCTTAAGTACTTTTACCAAACAATCATACCATCTTTTGCCAGATTGTTTTAACCCGTATAGACTCTTGTTCAATAGCCAGATTTCATTCTTATTAGTGTATTGACTGTGTGGTGCCCTTACATATATTTCCTTATCTAGTTTTGCGTGTAAGTACGCAGTCTGTATGTCATATTGAAATACATCAAGATTGAGTGCAGATGCCACTACCAGAGCTGTTTTAACACTCTCTGTTCTCACTGTGGGGGAGTATGTGTCAGTATAGTCCTCCGGATACTTTTGTGCATAACCTTGTGCAACTAATCTGGCTTTGTATAGAGTATTGCCTCCTTCTAGATTTTTAATTTTATAAATCCACCTAGTACCTATGATTGTTTTATCTTTAGGTGCAGTCGCAGGTGTGAATACATTTAATCCTTGCAAACTTTCCATCTCTTTTTTCATAGCTAGTTCCCATTTTTCCTTTTCTTCATAAGGGAGTTTTAATACTTCCTCATATGTATTAGGTGTTATTTGTTCACCATCCATATGCATTATGTAATCTCTGTATTTACCTGGTATTTGATTTCTATTGTTTCTAATAGCTCTTTCAGGTTTGCTATGGTTGTCATGCAAATATCTTGCTTCCTTTTTTGTTAATGTGTCTGTCTTTATTTTGTGCTGACTATTTGTCCAAGTTTTGGTTTTGTTTGTATTTTTGTTGATATTTTGATTTTCTATTGTTCCTCCCTCACAAGATTTTGTATCTTTGCATTTATCTGGAAATATTTCATTAAGATGTAATTTAGACCAATTGGCTTGTTCATGGAACACAGCTGTTCTGGAGACTATAAATTTGTTACTATTATCAATGAATCTGTACCCTTTGGTGCCAGTTTCATATCCCATAAATCTTAATCTTCTGGATACGTTTTCTCCCTTTCTTCTCAACTGTTTAGGTATGTGTACGTCTGCAGTGACTCCAAATATGTGCATGTGTGCTAATTTGGGTTTCCTATTATACATCACCTCATATGGTGTTTTATTCACAATACTGGACCAGGTTCTATTTTGAGTGTAATTTGAATAATGTAAGGCTTCTGACCAAAATTGTTTGCCTAAACCAGCATCCTCTAATGTGCACCTAATCATGGTTTGTAGTGTGGAATTCTTTCTCTCTGCAATCCCGTTTTGGAATGCAGAAAATGGACTAGACGTGAAATGTAGCATTCCTCTATCCTTTAACCATTGGGAGAATTCTTTA